AAGGTCGTAACTTTATCCCTTTTACCAACCATTAGCCTCTAACGTTTTCTCTCCATGCACTCACCACGTGAGTGCAGACATTTTGAATATATTTCTCAGTTCACGACGGTTCTTCGTCATATTAAGGACGAGTCGAACTACGTTGCCGATGCTTTGTCACGTATTAGAGTGAATGCAGTTACTCTACAGGTGCTCGATCTTCCTGCTATGGCCGCCGCCCAAGCAAATGATCGGTCTTGTTCAGTATCACAACAAAATACTTCCTTTCAGTGTCAGGAAGTGCCCCTAGCTAATAGCTCAGGCGCTATTCTATGTGATACCTCTACTGGTCTACCCCGACCCATCGTACTCTCTGCTTATCGTCGTCTCGTTTTCGATGCCCTTCATAGTTTGTCTCATCCAGGTATCGCAGCAACATTACGTCTCATCACTGCACGATACGTCTGCCCTTCCATGAACAAATATATCCGTATGTGGGTAAAGCAATGCTTACAATGTCAACGATCATAAGAGCACAGGCACGTAGCCGCCCCCACCAGCACATTTGCTACGCCTCATGCTCGCTTCGATCACGTTCACATTGATATTGTAGGACCATTGCCACCATCGCATGTGTAGGATCACATACTAATGTGCATCGATCGTTTTACAAGGTGACCCGAAGCTATTCGCTTCACTTCTATTACGGCGGAAACAGTTGCTCACCGCTTCGTAGAACGATGGATAGCTCTGTACGGTTGTCTCTCGACTGTCACAACTGACCGAGGACAACAACTCGAGTCCGAACTAATCCCCTTGCTAACTCGGCTGCTTGGTACGTAGCGCATGCGCACTACCGCCTACCACCCAGCTTCAAACAGTTTAGTCGAATAGTTCCATCGCCAACTCAAACACGCTCTTCGAGCACAAGAAAACAACAATTGGCTAGAAACCTTACCGCTCGTCCTTCTAGGCATCAGAACGAGCTTAAAGGCAGATATTCAATGTTCCGCCGCTGAATTGGTATATTGCACGACATTGCGTCTGCCTGGGGAATTTTCCACACCACGGAGCAGTGATAACTTCAATAAATCAGACTACGTCCAACGATTATCTGAATTTATGCGATCACTGCCTCCGGTGTCAACTCGAGTACAATATCGACAGGTCGCTCTCCCTTAAGAGTTATCTACTTGCTCACATGTCTTCATTCGAGTCGATTCGGTACGCAAACCTCTGCAACAACCTTACGAAGGACCTTTTCACGTGATTTCTCCTTATGAAAAGACCTTCAAGGTTGCTCGACATGGCCACGTCGAGATAGTCAGCACTGGTTGTCTGAAGCCAGCACACGTTGATGACAGTGCCCTACTTGCTAATCCGAGACCCTATGCTAGACCTGGCGAGATCCTTAAAGTTACTTCGGACCCGACGCTAGTTAAACCAAAGACCTCATTCTCACGTCCCAGTCAGCAGAACGCGTCATCTGTAATATCTACGGGTGAGACTCCGGTCTCACGTCCAGATCAGCAGACCACGCCGCCCTTGACTTCGAATGAGAATATAGGCTCATGGGGTACCGACAAGGCTACTGTCTCGCGTTCCGGTCGCCGCGTACGCCTACCTTTACGCTTTATCGGCTAACTACCAATCAACCACGGGTGCAGCAAAGGATTTTACCACCATACTACATGCACGCTACACTTTTCTCCTTTTCTTTGATTTTTTTATCCCAAGCCTATACCTCCGACCATTGCCCTGTTGGTACCGTGGACTTCAGTTAGCCTTAGCGAAAGCTGGCCTGATCACCCGCGCTCTTGTCAATGCACTCAGTCGATTTTCTGGTTACGAATATATCTGGTGTACGAATGGATTCGCACTAGTCGTTTCTGGCTCCTTCGCTCAATCTGGTTCCGTCCTATGTCTGCATCTTTATCTGGTCAAATCCCTACGAACGCCATCTTCAGACTCTAGATACTAGCCACGCTGGTGTAGCATGTCAACCCGATAGACGAACTTCGCACGTAATTATTGGCACGGCAGCGAAAATCTCTCGGTGACAACTCGAGCTTCCTGTTCGTCAACCCTTCCGCCCTACAACTAGACTTTGGCCGACAAGCCCCTCCGAACGCAGCCGCTACGAATCGAAAGTGTGAACCCTTTATAGGGGGGGCTCCTGTAGTGGAACTATTTTGTGAAGGAAACATAATAGCTGACACACAATTACTTATTATCGAACATGTGTAAAAATAACTGTTCTATTGTACATCTTTTGTTTATCTGTACTAAAAGCCATAACTCAAGCGCCAACCCTGTGGCTTTATTGATTGTTTCTTGTCATCTCGTTGTCTGACTGAACAAGTGATATCATTTGGACATCATACAAATTCCAGTCAATAAATATCGTTATTCTATGACTGGATTATACGTGATTCTAATTAGTAAGGGGGTTTTTACCTGGCAATCATCCCAGCTATTACAAATTCTTGTTATATGCAAACCTGGTTTTACCATCCATCGTTTCGCAGTCAGCAAGATGATAGTCGTAACGTAACCTTCGTAACTCACGCTAATTATTCGCATTGTACATTCCATCTATAGGAATCCAATGAATCTCGCGAAATATTTCAGTAACTGTATTCCGTTTTAAAAGAAATATGTTGCTAATCTTAACATTTTGATCTTGCCTGTAAATTGGCATGTCTCTTGTAACATGTTTGTTATTTGTGAATAAACTTTTATAATTATTTCAGAAGAAATAATCTGTTATGAATAATGTTGATTCGCGGAATATGATAATGCGGCACAGTGATCTGATGCTTTTATTCTATTTTATTTATTCCTTTTCTTTTCAACTCTGTAGCTCAAGAAGTCATGAGTTGTCTAGATCTGCTTGTAATAGGATTTCATGGTAAGAATTTATAACCAGTGCAAGGTTACGAACATGAGTCGTAGAAGAGGTTACCAAGTAAAAAGTAACATCAATATCACTGTTATATAGTAAGGAGCCGTAAGCAAGCAAAATATTCTGACCCACAGACATGGGTAGATGGAGATTATCGCAACACCGTTATGGATGCTGGTCAGATACACCACCCTTACTCCTTTTGTGATGATAGGCTCTCTTAAGTTTGATAGTAGATTTTAAATAATGGTTTTTAGCCTACGTTCCATTTTTTGTACACCTTGTCGGAATACACTTTTTCTACCAGCTCCACGTAACAAGCAAACCAGACAATCTTGGCTTCTCCATGATGGTCTAAATATCCACATAGCATACCATACTGCTATTAAGTTTACCGAATATGTAAATTATAAGATATTGGTCAGTTAGTAAGTAGTTTGGAGGTAAGAAGAATAGGCATCCGGAGAGAGAAAAAAAAGAAGAAAAAGGGTGTTAATAACTCATGAGTAGAGCGATAAATAGGTAAGAAATCAAGGTAATTGGATTCATTTGAGCTCCAAAAAGAACTTACATTCATTGAAGAATAGACAGTGATGAACCGTTTCAAACTAAACCATCCGAAGTATCACGTCATGCACATTCTGCCCTATATGACGCGAACGATTTTTACCCACACTGGAAGTCCACTCCCTGATGTCTCCTCAGGGCGTGATCTCGGTTTATTAACCACAGAAAGCCTCCACACGAGTCCGGACCATGTAGGGGACACAACCAAGGCAAATGCGACTCTTCACTTTATGCAAAGTCAACTTGGTGTTATCACCACACAGTTATTCCCAACGCTGTTTAAGACATATGCACGCTCACACCTCAAGGTTCACAACGTCGTCGCACTCCCTCTTCTTCATAGAAACATAAATCTCTTAGTTCGAGTGCAGAGACGAGCAACTAATTGGGTGATAGGGTTGAAGAGCAAACATTACGAAGATAGACTCCAGCACTTGGGAGTGTTATCCCAGAGTCACAGAGGATTCAGAGGCGATCTGATTATGGCATACAACATATTAAGCACTCCAAACCATTCAAACGTGATCTTCCTACCGATACATCACTAATACTCCCATCGAGGTAATTATCGAAAAATTGCGCATCATAGAGCGAATACTCAGGTGCGTGCACACTTCTTCCCATTGAAAATCGTCGCAACTTGGAATGCTCTTCCAGCCGAGGTTACTACAGCCCTCTCATTGGACAGCTTTAAGAAGAGACTCAATAATCACGTACTCACATACGGATTATCATCTCCTTCTTGGACAAGCTTCGTCTGATGCATGTCTTGAAACCTGCTAGTTGTTATCATTGCTGTCCCCTCAGATCACTAAATTCATCTATCTCTCCTATTATCGTTGTTTCCTTTCCATTGCCTACGCTTCTGTCTCCTCTCACAATCTTCAATACCAATTATTACACTAAATCATCTACGTATTACTTAGTTCTGAAATTTTAATCATATCAGCATTAGAATTTTATCCTTATTATCCTTAATACTCTCCACATTGCAACTAACTGATTTCCGGTCTGGTAATGTGATAGCTGTTGGTATTCAGAAACCCTACTGCCCTGAAATAAACGTATTTGATCAAACCAGAGGATAAGAAAACTCACAACCCACTGCCAACTGACTAGAATTAGACAGTTCAGTGGCTAGACCCCTATTCATTGGACACTACAGAACACCTGGAACAGTACCGAGAGAACATGAATCGGGTGCAAAAAGTTCAAATGGTTAACACTAGCTCTTGGAAAACATATTGGATATTACATACATGCTCTAGTAAAATGTATTGGATATATTGAATGTTGACCTTCAGGATCAGTAAAACCTGATGTGATTATTTCAAATTTTCCAAACATCAGTCATGGTTCCCAAGCTTGGTTATTGGAAAATCAGAGGCGTGAGTACTGATCTTAAAATTCTCCGAAATTTCAAAAACAATCTAGTACCTACTGCATACAATCAAAAGACAAATCGACCTTTTATTACTGAGACTAGTTGCAACAAAATATTGCCTAGACCCAGATTTCATACTACTGAAAAATTTATCAAGTCCATCTAGCATAGGTGAATCTCTCAACAGTAAGCGAGCATATAAGTTTATCATGTCTTCACTGACTGGACCACATTTTCGCTAGCCTCTAAGTATATATTTCTTTCCAATCATTTCATCTGACGTTCTTGAACTCCACTTTCGTGTGTCGGTAATGTAGACTGGTTCCTAAACGGTCCTCAAATGTATACGGTAGTTTTGATGTTTAGATTATACAATATATGTCAGTGCTCAATCGGGTTCTTATTTTGAGATGATCTCATGCTACAAAAAGTGGCTTCGCTACAAAGTCATTAGTTTATTGAAACAATTAGTTCTCCAAATTTCCTATATTCATCTACGTAACCTGTATTTGATCAACGGTAATAGTTATCTGCTGTATTCTATATATTTGCATACAGTCTAAAAATGTTTTACTGCTTTTTAGCTTGTACAACCAGCTCGTCTACTTTTAGAATATGTTGGAGAAAAATACGAAGAGCGTTTGTATGATCAGAATGATGGTGATGTGTGGAAAGATGAAAAATTCAAATTAGGTCTTGAGTTTCCCAACGTAATACAACATTTTCTATAATGCATTATTCATTCAGCTTCCCTATTATATCGATGGTGACATTAAGTTGACACAGTCTAACGCTATCATACGTTACATTGCTGATAAGCACAATATGTGTAAGACGAAATAGAATGATGTATATTTTTAGTGGGTGGCTGTCCAAAAGAACGTGCAGAAATTTCTATGCTTGAAGGAGCAGTCTTAGATATTAGAGGCGGTGTTTCAAGAATCGCATATAATAAGGAATATGTAAGTTTAATTTAGACTTAATTCATTTCAAGGAAACCCTCAAAATTGACTTTCTCAACAAACTTCCATCAATGCTGAAGATGTTTGAAGATCGTTTGTCTGACAAAAGGTACTTGAATGGTGACAAAGTAAGTAACTGAATTTTATCCACCTGGCTTGTGATTTGTTGATTTGACTGCCTCTGTCTAGTGTCAATAGCACATTGATGCACTCCGATCAGATGTTTGTAGATATATTAAAATTCACTTCTCATAGATTTATGTCTGTAAATACTCATTATCTAGCCTAATGCACAATTCATTACCTCAACAGCATGTGATGAAACATGAAATGTGTAGAAATCAGAAAGTTGCACATTAGTTCAAGTTATGATATTCTTACTAAAATTAAGCTAAGAAATGTAAGCGAATCAAAATGCATCCTTTTTTGAAGAAGAGGAGGCTTCAAAAATGAAACTGAAGAGATGGTGAATGTTTTCATGTCTGTAGAACAGTTTTAAGCGACATAGTTCAAATTATTCAATGTACATCTCAGATTTTACCAATGCGATGCATTTTTAAATTATGCGTTCCATTCTTATCACTTTGCTAAACTTTACGAATATCATTCCATTTATTATTCAATTCATATCGTAGGTATAGTGTGATGATGATTATCATTAACGAGTAGTATATATTTCTGTCACAATAATTTATAATTCTCTATGGGGTTTCATCAAGTTGTAATAACAAGGAACTCGTTTTGTCGATTGTTATTGACAAAGAAAAAGCTGTCACACAGTAGCTAACTGAGGAACTCGTTCAGAGAGATTGTTTTTGTCCGTAGGATAGATTTGTTTTCGGTTTTGAAAATCATGTATACACCAGAATGATTTCTTATGTTTGACTACAAAAGATGGAATTTTTCTACCGATCTCTAGAAAATTAGTAAAATCGTTTACTTTTCTAATTCTTGTGTAATTCATCTGTCTTAACAGATAACTCATCCTGACTTCATGTTATACGACGCTCTTGATGTTATTTTATACATGGATCCCAAATGCTTGGATGCATTTCCAAAACTAGTTAGTTTCAAGCAGCGTATAGAAGTAAGTTAATGACAATGCATGCTTGGTTCTTGTTTAATTCGTCAAATTCTCGTTTATTAATATTCCTTTTTTTTATTCAGGATTTACCACAAATCAAGAACTACCTGAATTCTTCCAGGTTCATAAAGTGGCCTATACAAGGCTGGTCCGCTGTGTTTGGTGGTGGAGATGCTCCTCCGAAATAAACCAACCGTAATTCTTTTGGCGAACATTTATGATCTCGCTTGTTATATGTTTGCGCTTAATAAAAATTATTAATCAAATTTCTCTTGTATGAAATGCATTTTCTAAAACAGAGCACATCGGAAAAGTAGTCCAGTCAGTTAGAACTTAAAACTTTCTCCACACTTACATCAGTTCAGGTTGCCATACCACATTAGCACAGAATCGCTTGTCACTTCAAACCATTTAGTAGTAGAGGTAGTGGAACTATTAGAAGTAATGAGAGAGATTAGGGTTCGAGGAAATAATTATAAAGGTGATGAGGAATTCAGAAGGTTAGGTTTCGAAAGAAAGCAATGAATGAATGCACATGTGCCATTGAAATCGGTTTTGAGTCATGTCATGTAAGTTGTTTTACCATCGAATACTAACATCTCGCTGTTTCAACCGGTTGATACTTACCAACATGACTCAATTCGATTGTCAGTGACTTCATAGATTCGTGTGATGTTTAGGTTTGTCGACCCCTAGCTTTCTTCCAACCTACTCCTAAACCACAAAGCATAGTTCGACCACCTCAAACGAAGACGTTTCGCTACTTCATCTATTGATCTGCCATTCTTACCTGGGACCCGTTTCCTAACTATAGCATTGCTTAGTCGGTTGTCCGAGGATACACAAGCAATGCTTCAAAGACACCTATGATCAAAAGCCTGCAACCTACGATTTTCCTCTACTCTGTTTGGCCATGTTTAGCAGCCATATAATAGGACGAAGCAAACTGAGGAGCAGTACACTCGTCCTTTGGTTGGCGGTTGAATATCTGTTCTATTCCATGAATGACGCATGTTGGAAAAAGCCAGTCGAGCCTTCTGTATCCGTGCTGAGGTCTCTTCAGCACTAATGAGCCTCACGAGATAAGTGAAGCGGTCAACATGACATCGGCATATTCTACGTTAACTAATAAATCTCCTGGTAGAAGGAATCAGACGAAAATAATTTTATATCTAGAAGCAGGTTTATGACAAAATTAAACAATATTGGGGAAAGTGGACGTCCCTCATGGGCACCACTTAAAGTAATCAAGTAATAATCTCTAACTCGACCAGTAGTGCTCAAGTAAAGTGCTTGTATAAGGTTAATGTACTTTTTGGGTACACCTTTTAGTGACAGCTACTGACGCAACCGCACGATCAACAAAGTCAAATGCCGTCTTAAGGTCCAGGAAGATAACTATTGTCGGACGACTAAATGTGTCTGTGTTCCAGGACCTGTCGTAGTGTGGAAATGTGGTATATAAAGCCACGTTCACCAACCGAAGTGTGGCTGAAGGCCCATCGATCCGGTCTTCTGGATTGAGAATGAATATTAAAATATTCTTTTCCGAAATGGTCTCTCTCACATTTGGGTTCCTAATACCGGTTCCCTTGATAAGTCGATCCAATGTCCTGGACTGAGAATAAATAATGTCCCATCCTTTTCCGAGATAGTCTCACTTACAGCAGGATTCATAATACCAGTTTTCTTGATAAATCGGAAAAGTTGTCTACTGTTGCCTATTGCTACTGCCTTTTCCATCTCTCTCGCTTCGCTATCCACCACCGTTCGCGATCATTGCGCAGGCGTTTTATCAGCCTGCATCTAAGCTGACTCCACTCCTCATCGTACTCAGAGCAAGATGGGATAAGTTTTCGAGCAACCATCAGTTCCGTAGATGCTAGTTGAAATCCACCGTTTTTTCCATAACCTTATGGTTTACCTTTCTAGTAGATATCACTGCTGTTTCCGCAGCTTATTTGATATCAATCCAAGTTGCCTCAGGATGGACATCACTTACATCGCTTCCTAACAGCTTTTTTAATTGTTTCTGGAATATACTCTTGGCTAAGCATAGTTATGTGATGTGGTTGGGTTGGCTTTAGGGGTCGCCAGGTCAAGAGGTGTTATTCCTCATACTGTTTGATAGAAATGGGCGATTATCTGAGCATAGCTTCAGCAAACGATCGCCTTTATCTAATCTTTGAGACGCGACACCATAAGATCCACCCAGGTGTCTTTCCTTTACACGGAGTCTACCTACTTGAGCAATAAGGTTAGCAGCTGTTATTACAATATCAGATCGCTTAACTTTTTGAAGAAGTTTAGAACGGTTTCTATAAAAGTCATCTTTTATATCTTCCAAATTACAATCAGTAGGAGCGTAGGTAGAGACAACAAAGATGCAACAGCTAATTTCCCTACTTTTACTGGTCCTGTTTAGTAGTTGGACAGCGCATAAATGAAATATCATGAAAGCATCAGATCACTGTGCCTTCATTATTATGCTCCATAAATCAACGTAGTTTCTGACAATTTAGCTCTTTTCGATCACCTCTATTCATAAGATGCTTTACTCGTTCGTTATCCTACTAGCGACTTGTCTTCATCGACGCTCATAACGGCATGTGTACAGTTAGTATCCTAATTTCGGAAAAAGATAAGTTTAAGTAATCATACTTCTGTTTTATCCAAAAATATAATCTGCTGAATTATGACTCAGCTTGCTCTTCACCCCTTTCTCTTTGTCAGCCCGTCATCCTACTCCATAAATAATATTAGCCTTGATAAGCGCCAAAGACGTGGTTACTTTACCTGGATGCACATAAGTGTATTATCTGATGAATTTCAACAAGAAGATCTTTGTACATTTACATTCGAAGTAATTAGGTTTAGCGACCTATAAGCAGTCAATGTATCTTATGATATATTCTTTTTCAGCCGAATATTCTTTTACCGAAAATTTGTTAACGATGTTATCAGTTTGTCTGTAAATTGGTATGCCTCTTGTATCATCTTTGTTATCTGTTTGTGATGTTAGGATCTCTTACATTAAGTAGTATGTTTTTGCTGTTGATCTAGTCTAGGCTTTATTTTTTGTACGTCTTGTTGCAATATACGTTCTCTACTGGCTCAATGTTACAAACTAATCAGACACGTGTAGCTTTTGTATGTTAGACTATAAGTAAATGTTGCATTTTACACTGCTGTTTAGTTAACTCATGGTATAAAGTGCAAGATTTGTGTCAGTCAATGGGTACTATGTAGATAGAGAGGATAGGCAACCGACGAAAGAAAATCAAGGGAAATAGTAATTCAGATTTAAGAGTAAGGCTATAAATATGTAAGAATGAAAGGTGTTTGGCTGTTAATACATCAACAAGCTGGAACTTGTAATAATACAGTTAGTTTGAGTTCCTTGTGATCGAGAGTAGTGGAGCATTATCCAGAGGCTTTTCAAATTATCTGCCTAATATAATTAAAAACTGTGAAAGATATTTAATGCGAATTGAAATAAAAATGAAACTCCGAATGTAGGAGCAATAATGCCTAACCTTTTTGCTGTTATTGAGAGTAGGGAAATACGTCTATCATTACATGATACCTGTTTAGATGGTTACAGGTGTGAAATATATTCATGATCTGTTAACACCGACTAGGGCTGGTTTAAATATTAGATAGATTTATGTGAGTTCTATGTTATGGTTTCTGAGTCTCCAATCAGAGTTCTAATTCATAATTAGACGGGATGTTACAAACTTATGTGTATATAGTCCGCTGCATTAGTAAATAACAGTTATCACATTAACAGATCGGAGATCAGTTAGTTGCAATGTAGAGAATAATTAGGAGAAAATTCTAATGCTAATAAGAAGAGGATTTCCGATCTAAGTGGATCAATGGATAATTTAGTTTATTAATTGGTAGTGAAGGTTGCACAAGTGGAATAAATTGTAGGTGAGGAAAAGAAATCAGAGATAATAAGCGAGACAGAATAAATCGATGTTCTGAGAAAACGGCAGTAATAACAACAAGCAAGTTTTGAGACGAAGATCTGGCACAAAGGTAACAAGAGTGATATACGAATATGCATGTGAGCACATGTTTATGAAGTCTGTTCTTGAAGCTATCCACTGAGGGGAGTGCAATTATTGGCTGAAAGAGCATTCCAAGTTGCGACAACCCCTACTGAAAAAAAGTGTGCAAGAATTTGCGTGTTTGCTTTTGATGCGCAGTTTTTCGAAAGCTATCTCAAGGAGCCTGGTGGTGATGCTTCGACAAGGTGCTATTGTTGGGATCATTCGGTCTGCCTTTCACACAATAATCCCAAATGTCGGAGTTTGATGAATTTTTGAACTTTTCACTCAATAACCAATATCGTTGTTAGGCGCCAGCATAATCTAATCTATTTCTTTGAGGCTTTCATCAACGTTGTGCTACTGAAGTAATAGATATATCTTCGAATCTTGTCAGTTGTAACTCCCATTTTGAATGGATTCAGGACCGCGCATCAAGAAGTTATTATGTACTACAGGCTTGTCGATCGCCGAATATGCACGACATTTTTGGTATGCTCAAGTTCCTCAGCATCGTCCACGGGAAAGTGTTTGTCAAGTCACCTTTTTAGTCAGTAAAGCCCAACTTCGCAGTCGGAAATATGTGAGGTACTGCGTCGAAGGCTCTTGTGCTGAGGTTCATGGAGTATTTCCTTCTCAACCATGCACTCACTCATTTTCTCAATCCCCAGCCATACTATCACCCTAAATAGAGTTGATAGTAATGCGATTGGTCTGTAACAGGCTTGCCAACTAATAGCTGGGAGCCAATGTAACGTAAATCTACGTTTGCATATAAGAAGAAGTGATGAGATATATGTACAAAGATCTTCTTGTTGAAATTTACCAGATACTACACTAATGCTCATCTAAATAAAGTAACCACGTCTTTGGCAATCAATCATCAAGGCTAATAATTATGGAGTAGAATGAGAGGCTGACAAAAAGGGGAATGAGGAGAAAGAGGTAAGGAGCAAAACGATAACGCTTTTTATACGTGTATATTGAAAATATAAACTAAATGTTTATGCATGAATTGTAAACTATTCTGGGCTTGCAGATATCAACACAATTTATAATGATATGTGGATTTGGTATTCTGTTTGTGATCACTATGATTGAACATACATTCTATTTGTATGTGAAATTTTATTTGTAATCAAGAATTCTGTTACTTTTATAGTTCAAATAAACACTATTGTTATAACTTTTATTCAACCTTATTG